TACGTTTTGATAGCCAGCACGTGACTTCAATGCTCTTTGAAGCTGCGGAAGGCAGCTCTCTTTTTGACTGTTATTCCAGGAATAACTGTAACAAAAATTGTTCTGTCGATACATATGTATTCCGTGTAAAAACAGATTACTCGTACAATAGTTGTATGTACACACTTATGTACTATTCAGCGCTTGAATCGGCTCTATTGACCGTATCTACCTACATTACAAAGAAACGTATTTTTCCCAAAGGTTATTTGGAAACGAAACTCCTAAATTCCTACAGCTCATCGGTCTGAAAATGAGAAGTATACTCATAAATCCCCAATATTAAATTAACTAAATCTGTTTGAAGTACCTACTTATTTATTACTGTTCCACGAATTTCAGCCTTGTAGTCTGACTATTTAAGGATATCGATTTTTCCAAATAATGACAATATACATTCTGTTAACCTTTAGCTAAAATACAATCTATTCTAGTGAACAAATTGATAAGCGAAATAAAAGTAAACTGTTACAAAAGTTAGTACACGTATTCTTGGGTGAAAATACTTTTATTTCCTTACTTGAACGTAGCGTTTATGTATTTTCTATTTTAAGTTCTTATAAACTGGGTTTAAAGTTGTTTAATTGCAGGCAGTAATTGATAGCTTGGCCGTGGAGTGGTGGTTAGTGGATCGCTTGAGAGCACAATGCTAACCCGTTTATCTTAATTGCCTTACTAACGTCCCGTTTACCGTAAACTTCGATTACTTAATGTTTGTGCCGCCCGACCCGAGTGACTGATGATGGGTGCCGTTGAATCTACGTGTGTAGATTCACGATACGACCATTGTTCAGAATATATATGAGGCAGATAGTAAAATATCATCATATTTGAAATCATAGATTGTAATTAAATGCCATATTTGAATTCCTAATTTGGGTAAAGATTTTAGACGTTCCAATTTTCTGTTGGCTGTTGAATCTGCTTATTACTATAAAAACTCACTATAAAAAACGTGGACGTTGAGCCATATTTGCGTCGCGTTCAAATGAAATACGTAGGTATTTTTCAAAATTCCGGATTAGCCGTTCTGCTCTGGGTTTTATTTCGCAAAATATTTCTTTCAGTGCTGTACAGTGAATAGTCCCATGTAATGTGTAGGTATCATTATCTTTCTAAGGAAGTAGGGTCCGGTGCCAAACCTTTTGAATTTACGTTTGCTAAAAACATGTTCACATTTAAGAGTTGTATTGTGTCATTTGACCGGTTTGACTGTCTGCCATTTACGACGTTTTAGGCTCGCTACCAATACAAACAGCCAACCGAGATATATTTCTAAATTGAGCAATTTTTCCTCAGACAAAAAACTACTTTATTTTACGACACCGTCACTCAGGATAGAGCGAAACACGCATTTACAAAAAAAGTAAATGGATCTCTCCCAAGTAGGTATAGTGCCTAGGTGTGCTGTATGGCTCGTTTCTAGGTATAACAAGGTGACGTGGGGAGTTTCAGAAACCAGTCCATCCTTGGAAGTGTCCGGTAAATCTATCCTGATACAACAATAGAAGGGACATAAACGTCCTGGTGCGCCGGCTTGCGGCTCAATTGTCTCGACCAACAATATGTACATCAAAGCTGCGTGTATGTACCACAACAAGTACATTATCCGAGCTCGTGTTCGCCTATTGACACCTACTGAGTCCGGAGGCCGCACATGATAATTGCTTAGGTTGTTCGGCCGGGTTGAATAGGTTCGCCGTGATCGTAATCCCTGAGATCATAAAACTGGAGCTCCACTTGTTTATATATCGGGGTTGGGTTTGATATTTCTAAGTTTACGACTGTTATATTTGAACCCTCTCATAAAAGTAGGTGTGTATTTACATAATTCTGTAAATCTCGTTATAATAATATACGTTTGCATAATTTTGGGAACTAGCCACAGCTAGTTACAAATGTATTTTGATTCATTTAAATACCGCGTAGTATATTATAAGCATGAAGGTATTCACAGCTATCGATGCATAATGAGCATTCAGCGCAAATACCTAATGTATTGAGTTCGTTGAGTACTGTATCGACAGTAATTAACTCGAATTGATGGAAAAGTCGTTCCAATTAATTTTGCCATGTCAACGAGCTTGGGATATTAGTTGAACAAAGCGATAGTTTTGTGGGTGCGCGGCCTGTAGTACCGCAGCCCTGTGGCGGGACCGCCCGTCAAGATGTGGCTGGGTTTGACGTTCAAAGAGTATCTACTTACGTACTATAGCACCCAGCTACTGTTTAATGCAAATGCTGTCTTATGGAAATGTAGAATGACCTTCGTCCTTCGTTTCGAGAAAACCAAAAATAAGCGGTGATCTCCAAGTACAAGTAGTACAACGTATCTTAGCGTAGGTACTAAATAAGCACATAGGCATTATCTAATCTGTGTGTGCAAGAAAAGTATGACATTATTTCGTTGTATCTTTATTTTGTTCTCTCTTTTCTGTATCAACTAAGTTTGAAACGTTTTTGTCTCATAAGAAAGCCAAAATGGACATATGTACATATAGAGTTTTATAAAAAGTCAAAATTACAATAAGTACTATACTAAAAAGCTTCATAATTTTAAAACAAAAAAGAATTAAAAAAAACATTTTGATAAAAAAATAAAAATAAAATATTAAAATGAAAATAAACAAAAAAATGTAAACTGTGGGCGAAAAATTTAATCCTATTATTTTAATTCATGCACAAAACATTGTACTTATTGGACTTAATTTTTTTTTTGTTAGTGTACAATCATCAAATGACTTCTCCCTTATTGCGCTTACCCCGCAACCCCGAGGGGTGAACTTAATGCCTTAAGCATTCTTTACTAGTCAGCCTTTGTATATACTTACATTCGATTTTGAGTTTATCGATTCTATAGTTGATATGATACCAATATTTATGAAATATGACCAAAATTCCTAAATAAACACGATGTAGTGTACCTAGGCTCACAGGCCACTGTTTAATTTAGATTACTAGGTATTAGCTCAGGCTGCGCTTGGTTTCAGAGATTATAGGTATATAGGTACAGTCAACGAAATTAGAGCTTGGCTATACTGAGATTGAATTTTGTGTGTAGAGACTGACGTTACCTACCGTGGTTTCGTCTACTATTTTTTTCATGGGATATGTTGACCATCGAGCCGAAGGATAGGATGATTAGCATTCGGTGTCGCACATGGACGCTCTTAACAAAGAAGGAGTTGCAAGTTCGTTACTAGCCTTTTGATTTAGAGGTATTTGGAGATTGCGGGTGAGAGGAGGAGAACAAACACTACACAAGTGTCTTTTCACGCCGATATTCTGTGAGGCCATAGTATCACTCCGGTTGAGCTGAGCCGGCCCATTCATGTCTAAATATGGCTTTCTTAGTAAATAGTAGTCATAATAAAACCAATACATCAAAAACTTTTCCCTAGTGAAGTAATCAAATGAAAAGGTATTTTTATTTTTAATGGTAATAGTTTTTGTTAGTAGTATTTTACGAAATTTATTATTATAATCGTCTTTTGTTTTCAAAATAACTCGTATTTCATTGTCACTCGGGGTGTTAAGAATTTTGGGTGCAAAATTGATTAAGAACTTAGATTGGCGACTGTACCTACCTACTACATACATATTGGTAAGGTGTAGAGCTCACGACATTTGATTGGATTTCTAGACACTACCCAATTTGATTTGCTAGTGTGTATAGAATACTAATTGCTTTAAAGATATAACTTAATTACCGATTAAGTTGCCAGTTAAATTAATTAGAACACCTGTCTGAAACATGTCGCGCGACTTTGGTATTTAATAGGGAAGGTATGCCGTATTTAAATTGCTGTTGACTTAAGGAGTTTTGAAAGATTTGTTCACAGGAATATGTTTTCTTACTATTAGTATACAACCACAGCGTTGTTGTGTTTCGCCGCGTGAGTGAGGTTACCGGAGGCCCAATCATTTTCCCTCTCCACACCCCATGCCAAATCATTGAATATCTGAAACCCTTCTACCCTGAAAGGCCGGCAACGCGCTCGTAACTCCTTCGGTGTTGCAGGTGTCCATGGGCGGCGCCGATTGCTTCTTAAAGAAGTATGTTTTTGGTTATTTATTTGAACCTTTCTTTTTCGCTTATTATGTTATCAGATACGATATAAATAATAAGGATTTTTTTTTAAAGAATCCATGTTATTCAGATTAGGGATAGTTAAAGAAAAATATGTTGTTTTATAAAGTACTTAGGTATGATTATTACCTATTAGCTACTCTCGCGCGGTTTCACCTGCTGCTCGGCTCCATTTGATCGTATCGTGATGTGTATAGCCCTTAGCACTCAGGAACATTGTAGCTATCTATCAGTGAAAGAATTTTGGCAATTTGACCAGCGGTTCCAAAGATTATCCCCTACATACAAAATTACAAACTTACAAATTTTACCCCTTTATAATATTAGTATAGATTTGTTACAAACATATTTCTTATTAAGATCTTGAATTGGTACTGTCTTAAATTTTCAGTATCTTTTATGATATAGATCAATTCTTTTCTTTGGCACTAGTAGAGATCTATTCATATCCGAAAAGTAAAAAATAAATATATTTTATCTAAATCTTATAAGTGGGTACTGATTCTTTTGAAGGGTGTGTGCTTGCGAAAAAACTTACAAATATAATTTCAAATTTACTCATATTGTAAAGTTTTCATTTTTTTTCTATGTCAGACCGTTTATGTACTTTTGCCTAATATACACATAACCTATGACATACCTCACTGTGACATGTATTTTTTTTCAGAAGCATGTAGTTATTGATCGTGATATGGTTAGATTTCTGAGATGAAACTCGAGAAAAATATTACAAATAAGTATTTATTTTAAATTAATTTTAGTATTCGAAAGTTTATACTAAGGGCAAAGGTTATAAAAAGGGATCGAAATACAATGAAAACAAACAACGCAAAAATATTTTTCATATTATTTTATTCATTCTTTTATAATTGTCAGAGTTGTACAACTAATTAATCACAGTTGAAACAAAACATACTATATGTGTAGGTATAATATTATGTATAATTAATAATTAATGTCTAAAATAAAACGAAAATCGGTGTTCGTTAGCGAGTTATCGCAATTTAGTATTTTTTGTACTGGGATTGTGTGCTCTGCTGTCCGAGTGTAGACGCGGTATGAGCATTGTGTTGCAAGGTATTATCGACGAGGGTATCGACTGCCCACGTCTTAAGAGTCAAGCAGTAAGTACTGAAATTCGATTTCAAACTAAGCAAACTCACAGAACTATCCTTTTCAAACCGTTAATCATTTAATTTTTACATCAATACGATCTGTCGACAAAGTGGTCTTATAATAATAAATGCTCAATGTAAATAACAGTAACGTAAGCGCAACACGCTAAGAGACGCGCAGAGCTTGGGTGAGGAAACAGAACCGAGTGATGCGCTCTCACATCGCCGGAGAAACTAAATGCTGCATATAAAATAGTCCAAAAACTTACAAATATCCTTGTATAAGACAGAAATATAAAATCGGACCCAAATCGCTATCGTAACTCGACTATAAATGTATGATACTGGCAGTGTAATGATATCAATCAAACAATAAGAACTATGACCTCCTACTTACATGAATAGTAATTAACGAGAATTGCTTTAATATTGATGTAGGTATTTGAATATTAATTATTTATTTGTCTTTAGTGCAAACTAGAGGGTGAACTTACATTAGGTAAGTTATTAGAAGTCTATTTAAACCGAGTCTACAAAATCTTAGGCTCCAAACACATAATAAAATCAGTCATTTTAACATAATTCAGTATTATTCTAAAATTTACACTGATTATAACTCGATGTCGAAGTGAGACAGTTTCTAAAACCATTTTTATTATTATTATAATTTACTATAAATTCTTAAAAATTAATTTATAAATTAATGACTTCTACAGGTTTCAACAACTATCTCACATCAAGACCGATGGAAATAGTATTCTAGCACAACACTCTTAATAAGTTATTGATATTTTCCTAGGTGCGACTAAATTTATATGTAATCATACGAATAAATAAAGTGCAAACACTTAACTCTACCGTCATTAGCTGCATCGATAATGCTAAGAAATTGGCACAGTCCCACTCATAACGGCGCGCGCAGGAACCGGGCGCCGCGTGTACGCAGCTTGCACGCTCGTTTCACGCTTGCGGCACGCCCGGTTGCACGCAGCGCGCTCCTCGACGCACACGCTCAGTCACGCTCGACGTATGTCGCTTGCACGCACTCTCACACATCCCTACAGCTTTCACACGCCCATAATGCAGTCACGCTCGCACGCAAACGAAAACTCCCGCGACCATGACTACTATTGGTTACCTAATGTTACGAGTAGACCGTAGTCGTTTCCAAATACTATTTAACTAGCACTACACGGAGACATTAGGAGAGGAACACCGGTTACTGTACAGTTCGCTTACACGTTAAAGTTAAATTAATAGTTTCACGTTTAATTAAAATCGGGGGTAGTTGTTTCTAGAGTGTTATTGTATTTACAACCCCAATGTTTTAACTTGACATAATATCGAATGAGCATTATGTAACTCGATGTCCGAGTGGACCACCTCAAGTATTATGTTACCTACCATTATTAAAATATAACGTATTCTTTTATTCTCTAACGATTTCTACGGGAGGGCCGCCATATTAAGTGATATCACGTAAAGCTGTGGACTTACAAAATACTCGTATAAATTATTCACATTTATAGCACACTATCTACAACACCCACTGTTCAGGTTCACGTCTGGCCCTGCCGCAGAAATCTCTTTAACTCCGTAACTTCCAATAAAATACTGACTCATAATATGGCTAATTCGAATAAAAACTTATATCAAATATTTGGTGAAGATGTAGTTTAAACTTTATAAAAATTACGCAATTAAATAGGTTTCTTAAACGATTACTTAAGCTTAACATGTCTACCACAATAAATAAAGTCGTATAAAATTGATAAGAGTTAGTTGTGGCGCGGGTAGAAGGCGCACGTCGCGGCTCGCGCTCACGGCGCCGTGGCCGCGCTTGTGTATTTACAAAACGAAAGTGGGCGAGTGAGCGAGTGTCGCGCCCGAGATAGCGGGGTACAGGTGGCTTAGTGGTACGATACTGGGAGACAATTGACTAAATTAGCGGCGGGTGCTCGGCGCTTACAGCTGCTCGTCCAGGTCCGGCCCGTACAGGTCAGCCAGCTTGTTGAACCGCGGGCCCCACGCGCCCAGGTAGTCGTACTCGTGCGTCTCGTCGTCGGTACCTAGCACATAAGCGCGCCGCATTAGGATTTCATATGAATAATTTATTCGAACACGAAGACTGGAGGTGCCTCAATTTTTCGCTTCATACATTGTGAATGAATCGCCGCAAGGCACCGTCATAAATTTTAAAGTGGGATTGAAGGAACTAATTTTACGAAAGGTGCTGATGCATGGGATTGGAAAACTCACCGGATGCGAGCGAGGAGAGAGATCCGGCGGTGCTGCCGCCGCCCTCGTACGCGTAGTTGCGCAGGTCGTCGAAGGGCGGCGCGTTGGGGTCACTGTCAGCGCGCCGTTTGTGCTCCTCGATGAACATGCCCACGTTGGTCTCCCCCGGAAGCGGTACGCCCACGCCTACACCCGGAGGGACGCCTACGCCCACGCCCATCGGACCAACTCCCAGGCCAAGGCCCATTACAGGATCTAATCGACAAACATACAAAATTGAAATGTACTTACAAAATTAAACGATTATGTTATTGAATAAAATGCATAGCGACAGACGGATGATATACTCGAGTCAGCTTTATAAATCGCAAACGTCTCCTATAAAACAGTCGTCCCTCTCCGCAGACATTTGGAACAAAATATGGTCTCGGATGTAACGCCATAATCCCTTTATCGTCTCTTACACCAGCCGGGTAAAATGACAGGGCGTTTATTTGTAACCATTGCACAACATATTATGCAAATGTGATGAAGGGGTGCTGACGGAACAATGGTTAATCTTGGAGATATGTGGCAGCCTAACCTTAAATCAAGAATTCAAGTTCGCGCGATATTTGTTGTTTTATGAAGAGAGAGTAACTGACTGAAAAAATATGACTAGATTCACCTGTTGATATTTATACAGAGTATTTAGTTAATACAGCAATTTACTTACATGGTAACTTAGTAGGCGCATGATCAGGAAGTGGTCCGCCGATAGGTATCTGTAGAGGAGTGATGTCGAAGGCCGTCATGTCGTCTTCACCGCCGCCTTCATCGTCGTAGTTGATGATATTCTCGCGGACGTCATCATCGGGGCCGGGGTACTTGATGTGTGCCTCCCGACGTCGATTGTATACCACGAACACTAACACCAGGACTGGTGACCAGAGAACATTGTGTTTAGAAAAAAGTCTACGTAATATTAGAATTGTAGTGAACAATGCTGAAGCATGAAACTCATGTGATATGAATCGCGAAAGAGAATATGATGTGAAAAACGAAAATGAGTTACACAGAGTAGTGATGTGCATGTGATCTAGCTTAGTTAGTTTGGGGTGGAGTGACCTCGTAGCCGCGGCCGCTCCGCCACGGTCGCGCGGGTCTGTCGCATCGGTCGCGTTCCTTTTGTGAACGTGCTATTCCGTTTGCTTCTTGTTACGAGTACCTGCTCTTTCTAGATGAATAATTTCTACCATTTACTTTGTACTCACTTACTTTGATCTCCTTTTTTATTCACAACAAATCCTGTATTAGTTTCTAGTCTAGTTTTGTTTAGCTGAATACCGAAATTTCATTCACTTCTTTTGAATTCTCAGCAAGCAGCAAGTTTGGAATTTAAATATTATTTGCAATACAAAGTTTAAGGTTTTGTATTCACGAAATATTAAGATAACTTTTATTCTTTTGCCAACAAAATCGAATTGTATAACTGAAGGTATGCGTATGACGAGATAAAGTTGGCAAATAATAAAACTTTTTATAAAATAAATGACTCTCTAGAATGCAATATTCTTTGATGTGAAGTTATTTTGTTTACAAGAAAGTTGGATACTTAAATATCTTTTGAACAAGTCAAACTGCTAATGTTAGGGCAGAATGTTTTCATAAAATGTCTAAGAGAACACTTAGCTGCAAATCGTTATCATTAATCAACATTATCATTCGGCGTTTCTTAATTAAACAGTTACTCATGTAATGTTGATATATTGTTAAGATTCTTAGAATAAAAACAGTTACGCGGAATTTCAAGAATTGGAAAATGAATGTAAGCATTTAAGTTTGCTCGAGTGGCATTTACATTTGATTAACATAATAATTAATATAACATAGGTAAATGTTTGTAGTAGCAATGTGTTAATTACGTCACGACGACAATTGTGTGCAAGGCGCGCTACGATTTGTTGCTCGGAAATTGATCATAATGGATCCTAACGTTTGGGACTGTTTCAGTTATTTCAATTTCCGTAAGATAGGTATTTAATAAAGGAAGGGACCCGGGACGGATGATTTCTGAACACTATAGACAGACAGACATCTACTTATATTAACTCAATTACTTTCAACCCTGTTCCAACGCATTACTGAACATCACAAAGGCCCGATATACTATCATTTCAAATTACCAACATGTTATTTCATTGTTAAATTAATTTCAGCAAATAGATACTAAATTTAATATGTAAACCTATTCGTGTGAATAAAACAGTGTCAACTAGGCAATTATTTAAACAAATACATAAATATGAGTGTCGGACAAATTAATTTTACATAACGTCATAAATTCTATCTATAAATTAATATAAATTCACGTTATAAATCATACTATCTGTGGTAAAGTTAACATAAAATTATAGCAACGAACATGATAAAAAATGCTAACATTTATTTGTTATGGGAAATGTTGATTAATGACAAACACACTAGTATGGGTAACAGGACAGTAATTGCATGCAAGTAAACATAAAAATGTGGTGCTCACCTAAAAGCATGAACAAACAAACAATGATAGCTATAATGAAATCTCTGGAGGGTGTGATGATGCCGGAGGCGAGCAGCTCGAGCTCGCAGTCGTGGCCGGCGTAGCCGAACGCGCACACACAGTCGTAGCGGCGCGCCGGCTCGCGGTCCACGCACGTGCCGCCGTTCCGGCACGGGCTGCCCTCGCACTCGTTCACGTTGACACAAGTGCCGGCGGCGCGCACCGACCCCGCGGGACACCTACACACCGTGCGCTGTACTCTCCGCCTCGCGACCACGCGCGCACTGAGCCCCCCATATAGCATGCACTACTGTATAACACTGACTAGTAACACGGCTACATATACACAGATACGAGTGAGAGATGATGCGAGTGCGTTAGTGATAGTGTCGGGATGATCGTCTAGTGGGACACGGCAAGCGTGACTACGTTAGTGCTCACTCATAATAATGAGGAGGCAGACGAGGATCGCCGCAAGCGCGCCCATGCTGAGCTTGAGCGTGCGGCCTTCTTGTACGAGTTCGCAGTTCTCGCCCCAGAACCCTTCGGGGCAGTGGCAGCGGTAGCCAGGCTCGCGGTTCACGCACGAGCCACCATTGCGGCACGGGAAGTACAGACACTCGTTCTTGTCTACACATCCCTTGCCGTCCGGAGACAATACCAAACCCTCACCGCAACTGAACACCATTCCAATATAATATTAAGCATTAGTATCATTACATAATATTACATGTTATATAGTTATTACAAATATATGCAAATTAATTATTATTAAAAAAAGTGTGTAAATGAAATATTATATTTTTTAGTTTATAAGATACATACTTAAATGTTGTTAGGTTATAAGTATATTAAAATAATCAAAGGCAATAAATAATATAAATATATTTTATAAAGTAAAATAATATAATGTCGAAACTCAGTGCGCGCTACAAAATAAATTGTACAAAATAAAATAAGATCATGGGGTAATTAGTTCTACGAACGTTAATAAAAAGTAATAATCAACTCAGACTCCATGGTATTAGGTACAAATCAAAAGAAAGGATTTCATATTTTCCACAATTCTTTGTAACACATTCATAATTACATTATGTGTAATTAGACTTCAATCCTAGTGTTACAAAGGCATCTCAGTGGTAGAGGAAAACAATTATTAAATATTGAATCAAGTAAATAGTTTGTTAACAACATTTTATTATAAATCATTCTGGGAAAGACTGAGTAATCCCGTTTTAAATAAAATTGAGGGATTTCATGTTGATAAAAGGTCAATTAAAAATGAGAAAAAAAAGTAATGAATAGGATGGTATACTCACGTGCACTCGTACTCATTCCAGAGGTCGACGCACACGAACGGCTCGGTGCAGTGGACGTTGATACATGGGCTGTTGGACGGACAGTTTCGGTCCAAGTTTCTGGCCATCGTCGCCTGTCCCCACTGCGTGCCATTCATAGCCGGCGGTAGAGGCAAGTGCTTGCCTTCCAACCTAATGTCGTCCAAACAACCCTTCTGGAAGTCTGCATACACTTCAAAAGTTCGAACACCGGTATATTCTGCTTTGCCACCAGCATACACTCCTTCTTGTTTATCCACCAATAACCACTGGTGGCCCTCGAAGTAGAATGTCTCGTTATATCGTCTTCCCTCGCCGCCATCTATTTCAAGCATCGCAGCACTTCCGTACCGGCTAACTCGCGCTATGTGCCACTGGCCATCATCGACCGCCACAGAATTGAGCCACACGTCACGCTCTTCAGTACGAAGTGAGTTCAGATTGTAACGGAAATGTAACCGTGATTCTTTCACTTCAAGTATACCGTACTCTCTATTGTGTTGATCACTTACTCTAAAAAGTTCTCCGTGAGGTTCGCGTGTTCTAAACCGCAGTTGAATTTGTGTACTAAACCTGTCTGGTTCGAAACTTAAAGCGAATTTCACGTAACTCTGAGGCCGGAAGCTGGTAGGCGTAGTTGGTAAGTTACATGAAGGTCCCGTCCAACCAGGCTGACACTGACACCGGGCCTCGGAGAAACTTCCGACACAGGTGCCATGCTCCCAGCACCGTGAAGTAGTGTCTGCTTGATTACATATTTCGTCAGTTTGAGGACAACCAGCCACTGAATTTCGAGATAAGCCTGGATGAGCTAAATCGTACAATTTGCTGTTGTGTATTAGGTTTCGTATGCATCCGTCAAAACCTTTGCCAATAGGCATGTATTGCCAGTGATAGTGGGTCGGATCAAAGTGCTCTATGTACAAACCGCCAATTTGGAGAGGTGCATTTACATTTAGATATTCGTTGAACGGAGGTATGGTTCCCGAAGCCTGGCAGGTGGAGTCGTCAAATTCTGGCGGCGTTCCATCTTCCATTTCTTGAATGTCAGCAGACTTACAGAAATCTACTATCATTCTGACGTTTTCTGTGTCCCAGAATATGTCTATTCTGTGCCATTCGCCGTCATCCAATGATTTCTTAGTTTTGACGCGTAGTTCTAAAGTACCGGAACCAAAATCAATGAGAAGCCTTGGATTACCTCTTTCTAATTCCACTGATATGAAATCAGATACCATTATTTCTTCAGGCTCGGGTGGTACGATAGGTCCATTGTATAGCAATACACCTTCAGACTTTCTCGTGATAAATTCGAAGCTTAAATGTGAACTGTCGCACATTTCCAGGGCAGGGTACCACGCCCAGCCAGTGCCTCTAAAGCTCCTGGATGTTTGTTGACATCTTGGACCTGTGTACCCGGGAGGACAGGAGCATGTCAATCCATATTTACCTTCTATACACCTACCTCCATTATAACACGGAGAATTACGACAAGTTTCAGCTTGCGTGAAGTTACGGGCACCACATGTGCACTCAGCGATCACGTCAACTCGAACACCGACGAGAGCTGTTTTATTAGCATTAACCATATAAGGTAAATTACTGATATCCAAAACATTTGTACAGGATCCTTCGCACATTTGATTTTCATACAGACATTCGTCGATTCCCACCATTGTTATGTTAATTCCAACGGCGCGCTCAATTTCTTCACGATGCATTAACACAATGCCGTTTAATCGGATAGGCTTATAGTAATGAGCTCCGTGAGCAGAAAAGCGAATATCAGTGACTGGAGGGTGCTTCTTCCTAAGTTGAACGCTGAAGATATCAATATTTTCACGTTCAGTGTTGAGTAAGTCAGCCAATTTATCCTTGAAAATATCTAACTTGCTCCTTGAAACGCTGAGTGTCTTGTAATTCCATACTCTGATGAAATCTTCATCAGATATTCCGGATATTCGGATTGAACCGGAATTTATAATAGCGTCATGAGATATTTCTTTTACATACACTGTAACATTCGCAGGTACATCTGTTTGTGTATGTTTCCGATCATAAACTTTGAATTTTAGATGGTATCTACCTTCCCTAGTTTTGTGCCTCATTTGTATCATACCGGTTTCTTCATTTAATGTGAAATTTGGATGTTCTGAGCTTTCCCAGAAGAACTTTTTATCTGGTAGATCCCAGTCGTCAAGATCATAAACGTAAACTCGACCAATTTCTGTATCTGGTGCTTGACCTTGGTAACTGTAAACAAGTATTTCTTTAGATCCTTGTTGCATCTTATTATCATTGACATCACCAATCACGACAGTCAAGGTGCTTGTTCCAGTCATTGCAGGGTTTCCATGATCTTTAATAATGATAGGAATAAGATATTCCTTCTGTTGTTCTCTATCAAAGGATCGTAATGATGACACTATAGCCATACCATCACCATTAGCACCTTTCTGATCTTGTTCCACTTTGAAAGAAGCGCGAATGATGTCATCTGCTCCAGGGTCAAGCCTGAACTGGAATGGCGGTCCATTACTTTTCGATCGGTCATCATCGTCAGTAGCTAAGATTTCAGCCACTTTTTTGGGTGTAATATGCTCTGTCAGAACAGGTCTATAATCCTTTAAGAATGTTGGTGCGTTGTCATTTATGTCTTGAACAATTACTGTAAGAGTAGCAGTTGCAGTTCTTGGTGGCACTCCATCATCGATTGCTAAAATCTTTACTTGATGCCTAGGAGTGTCTTCTCGATCTAATGACCGCTGTATACTTACAGTTCCTTCTTGGTTAATCGAGAACTGACGTTTTCTATCTGAGGACCTATCGATAGCATATGATACTTTGCTCTTTCCTCCTTGATCTGGATCGGTTGCTTTAAAGGTTTCTAAGCTCTTTCCGACTTCAGCATTTTCATAAACTGATACTTCTATGTTAGCTCTTTCAAATTGAGGTTTATTGTCATTGATATCTCTAAGCTTAACAACTACCCACGAATAAGCTACGTGATATTTATCGTTGTCATTGTCTTCTCCTTTATCATTAACTTGTATCCTAAATCTGAAGCCATTACTTTGTAATTGGTCTTCATAATCTAAAGGCTGTACAATTTTTAACGAACCAGTACCGTCATTATTTCTAACCATAGTAAACTTATCAGCACCATATCCACTATTTTCAATAACTTTATATTGAAATTTATTAGTTTCGTCCTCATCATGAACAGTTACTGTCAAGATGGGCATTTCAGGCAAATTAGTTCCATCGGTTTCATCGACTTCGGTAAACCATTCGTCTTTGGTGAACTGCGGCGGCATATCGTTTATGTCCTTTACCCTAATAGAGGCTGTACCGGTTCCTTTTAACCCCCCGCCATCGGACGCTACTATCTGTATCGAATAATCTGGTGTCCTTTCTCGATCGAGACAACATACTGCAGTCTTTATGACACCAGTTTCAGGTTCGATTTCAAATATAGGTGAGCCGGTTTCTTCCTCAATTACATTTTTCTCAATTGAATACCACAGTTTCGCGTTATTACTTTCTGCAGGATCATCATAGTCGATGGCTGTCATAGTCATAACGACCATACCAGCTGTGCCATTCTCTGTGACATTACCGAAATATACGCCTTGAGGGAAAATTGGAGCATTATCATTAATGTCTTTAAGATTGACTTGAACATCTGCGTATCCCACGAGACCCTCGCCTCCTTCGTCTTGCGCAAATACTGTAAATCGCCATTGCGGTCGGCCATTAGGTTGGTCGCGGTCCAAAGGCTGTGAAAAAAATCACTAGTTAACGACCACATTAACAAAATATGATAATATACAACATATGTACATGTGGTTGAATACGCATTACTGTTTTCTATCTAATTTTAATATCATTTATTAATTTGCATTTGTTAATAGAATTAATTAAATTAGTAGGTATTGCTAACAACAATTTCTATTTTTATTATGATTACAATCCCTTTATATTGTAGGCACAGCGACACACGTTTGTGATACCTATATAAATGTCGTTAAAAGGGTTTGGTAAATACAAAGATAGTGTTTGTTTGGTGATCTTCAAACAAACCGATCCTAAACTCACAGTGAAGTTAAAGTCGCAAGTATCTTTAGCCTTTTGGTAGCGAGGCGACCAAAAAGTATTCCAATTTTGTAAAGATTAGATAATTAACATTCAGGAAACATTCGGTTTTTCTCATTTCACAAATATCTGTGTCCGACTTCGGAGCAAATGGAACGTAATAAATGTGTGATTGCATTGTGCATGCAAAGCGTGCGTCGTACTGGATGGCCATCGCTGTTCACGAGTTCGGTACTCTCATTCCAATGGCAACGGCATCAGGTGTTCCACTAGGTACCTACACCCTATTACCAGACGCGACTTTTATACAAACTATGTTATTTTCATATTGTAATTCAATACTTACTTTGAGGACGAATATTTCACCCGTTGTACGATTGATGTCGAATTTGCTGTTGGCAGGGTTGTCGGGGTCAATACCCTGTCCGGTGAGGAAATATACAATATTTTGTTGTCTGTCTTTGTCACCATCTGTGGCAGTAACCTGTTTGAAAAGAAGGTATGGAAATTAGTTGTCTGTTACACTCACTCATGATAAGATTTTTATTGTAATTTCCCTAAACGTTGTTTGTTAATAGCCCCATTGGGTACATTGCTGATGTTATTAACCAGAATGTGGCTATAACATAACTTTACACCTCTTAGCACCTGCATCTGAGGGGTAGAAGGTAAGCATTGGCTTGCAGTACAACTATTACCCAAGTAAATATAATTTAATTGCGTACAAGTCTCTGTTACGGATAATTTCGATATCGACTTTTAATCTTTTTCCACCTAGCAATCGAATCCAGAAGTCCATATGCAAGTTTATTGATTTGTAATTATTCGAGAAAACAGAAAAATGTGTTTTACTTACCTTATACATAAATTGTATTGGTTTAATGAAGCCAAAATACCAAGAAAACCAATCAAGTACAGGCATACATAAATTCATGCTAGTTAGTGAACTTAGTACAATGTTACAAGAATTACCTCAGGCTCTGTGTTGTGTTTGATTATATCGAATCACATACTAACAATACATACTTGTGAAAACTTATGTTACATCAGACCAAAATGTCTTAAGGCTAGTCTATTCAGTTTCTTAACAAAATTGTAATTTGTTGTAAGATTAATTAAAGTTTGATCTTTAATGACTTTGCAAAATCATCAAACTAGTAATAAATAAAACTTAATGAAGATTAATAGCTAAAAACCACTGACAATGTGGCTTGTATTAGTGGTCCTGCCTTTTCTTAAACCCTAGGCCTATTGTGCTCGAACAATTATCCCATTCAAGAGAAAGAAAATAAAGATTTGATCTCAATTACGACGACCGGCGGTTGACGTCATAAGTATAAGGTCATGCTTATTGCTCTTGTATTTTATATAATGTTAAAATAAGCTGCTTATTTATGTTTATAGTAGAACTTTGTCTCTATTTTTATTAAGTTACCAATATTTCCGAGACCCAAAGCTTTCCATTACATTGCGGAGTAATAATACTTTGACTTGACAATTCTTAGTTTTTTTCCTTATAACGCTGTCTCAAACAGTCCAAACAACTTTAATCTCAGGCTGAATGTGAATTACTATGTATTTTATAGTGGCGATGCTCAACGGAAGTTCTCAGAAGTTTATGAACCCCAACACCCCGGATTGTTTGCATCAGCCGGGCGCCCCCAGCAGCGGAAGCATCGCAAACTTTATTCTTTTTAAGAAGAACGACGAGAAAGCCGAAGAATTTTTATCACTACAGCGTGAGGATAAGTAAATCTTCAAGGCAAAACAGAACTGAGATCCATAAAATGTTACACGGAAGTGAGCACTCACGCATGCGGTAACTGAGAATGTGTATCAAATTCAAGACAAAGCTGTTTATCAAGTGTATAATGGAGGAATTGATCCCTTTAAAATTAGGATACGTAAACTTATGGCAACTGGAATGTCCAATTACGTCAGACTGGTGGGAGCGCCTGAAATGAAGAGGGTCGACGTTTGCGTAATTACTCGGATCATTTGCGAATCTCACTCCAATTATAAAAAAGCTTGTCACTACAAGCGACTTGGGACGAGGGCTTCACTCTTGGAGAGCGGCAAATTTCCATGATTGAGTATAAGTCAAGGCAGCCTGTCTCCGAAACTGTTACGTAGTACAAGATCGACAATTTTTTAATATCCTTTCAAATTACAATTATAAATTATCCGCAGGTAAATTGTCAGTAGCATGTCAGTATCGCAGACAAACAAGTCAAAATAAATTAATTTACCTCGAAATAGAACATGAAAGTCTTGTTTATTGATTGTTGACAAGTTGATTTAATTTTCATACTAAAATTGGCAGTACAACTGTAGGTAATTTAAAACTTAGGTGAAGTATCAGACACAACACAGAGGCAAAGTTGAGCAAAAGCAATTTCAAATATTTTACAAAATATCGCTCCGTTGTTCATAATGTTCTCATATGTTATTGACCGAACTCCGAGTTGCAAACTGGTAAAAGCATCTTGAACATTTACTGCGCTACGCTATCTATAGAGATACTACACGTGCAGGGAAACTAAATGCGAATGAACTTCAGTGATGCGTGAGCTTCACTAAAAGCTCACAGTTAAATCTACGTATATTATTACTTACCTCCGAAACCTGTGGATTCAAATTTGTGTTAATACTATAAATAGACATATAACACTGTAAATAGACTACCGGCTACTAATATAAATATTAGTAGCCGGTAGTCTATTTACGGTAGGAGACCCAGCACCCCAAAATAAATATACGATAAATGAATAAAATAATTTAAAAAGCGGATAAATTGTATGAGGAGGTAACAAATTGTGACGGTTTGTATAAGTTAGTATGTAAAGCTGGCATTTTTATCGCTTCATTACAATCGGAACGACCTTTCCTAATGGTTTTCGAAGTGAAGAGAGGTGGTTCGCAAAAATTACACGCACAGTATTAACATGCCGCGTTGGCACGTTTTATCTATGAAATTGAGTTTTTTTATGCTTATGAGTGGGACCCTGATACTGAGTTAAACACAAAAATAAATTCGCTTGCTGTCTCTGGCTGAGATCCTTTTAAATTTGCATGTCAATATTTGAAATGTGTTTGCAGCTGCTGGCTGGAAATTTTGTAATATATGCGAGAAAGAATTTGATTTTATAATAGAGAAAGAATGCCACATTTAATAAGAGTTACTTGGAGGCGTTTTGGCGAAGATTGTTAGTTGCAGATACAGTCGACACAATATTGTTTTAATACACAGTGAAAGCGTACCTTGCTCTGAACCTGGACCATGGTTGGAAGAAGAAGGAACAGAAAATAACAAAAAAAAACAACTTAAAAAACCTGTATGAGGGGGTGTGGGAAGGGGCCGGTCTCCTCGAGTGCCTGTGTGACATATGCGCTGCGCGTGAACTTGGGCGGCAGGTCGTTGACGTCGAGCACGCGCACCACGACGCGCGTCGAGTTCTCGTTGCGCCCGTCCGACGCCACCAGCGACAGCTCGTACTGCGACACGCACACATACACTCACCATGCTCATGCACCACACTCTACTTCTACATATCTTTAGCTTCTTCTCCCAAAGAATATATGCATGTAGATAGTAACATACAAAATAAATTTCCACAAAAAAACTAATTCAGAAACATCTAGGTAGGTTCTCCAATAGTTGGTACGTAAGTCAATTATTCACGAAACTTTTGAGCACACACAATATGTAAATACGCGGTGGTTTATGATTTATTACTTTTGATCCCTTTCATAAAAGTCCATTTTGTTGCAGATAAGCTACGTTACAATTCCACAGCCGCAGTTTTAACGGATGCCGCGGCTACGTACTATATATCATATCGATATACCGTGATTTATATGTATTGCGCATTGCTTTTAGACCTTGTGCAGTAAAATATTTATTTTCGAGTAAATAAAGTCGTCAGAGAAAATGTTTCGCCAAAAGCCACCGCGAATTAATCGCAATGAAGAAGTTAATTTATGCCGCGCGAAGAACTTTGCTTTCGGGCTTCGTGCAATAATTGAAAAGTACAAATTTCAAACGCCCTCTCTCTCGCACCCAGCTGCCGAACTTCGCGTCGTTATCGTTATAAAAATGTGAAAAGTCGTCTTTGACTATAAAATTATATTTCAAAAAAATGTTTGCTTTTCTATGGAAGCGAGTAAAGTAAATAAATATTAATAGCCGCGGAGTGGTTGTTTTAGGTCGGCGCGCCCGTCGAGGTATTACGCGACTCATTGAGTCTCAGTCGTTTCAGTGCGAAGCCTCATTTCGAGTGATCTTCAATCTTTCATTTCAATATCTATCGTAGTGCGGATTTAAGAGTATTGCTAGCGACGTGAATAAGTTTGCTAGTGCTGATATTTCTCAGTGCCAAGCTTGTATATCCAGTACACTTAATGAAACTCCTTGAGCCGTAACTTGAGAAAAGATTCACTAGTTTTTATAAAGAATTTTGCGTTCGTTTTGTCGTAAAATAAATTTTATGTTCAACTCAGAGTAAATAAAAATTAAGTTAAGTATTTTGCAAGTATAATAATTCTATATAAAAAAAAAGAAAACAAAACAGAGATCTGAAAGAAATGTTCAATTACGCAACGAGTATTCACCACTTTGTTCTGGAACTGCTGCCCGTCGCAATAAACAAGTTGGATGCATAAAAACAAAAACAACAATGACACTAGCAAAAAATAAAAACCAAACTACGAAGTAAAACTGTGTCGCAAATGAAACCTCCATGCCATGCAAGCTAATGGTGTCTGTAAGGGTCAATCCAGGGACCGTGGAGCCTCATTCGATTCTCTTTTGAAACAATAGCTGGCAGGCGCTTGAATTCGTTCAACAAAGAATCGAATTCAGCGGTAGTGATCACGAATCGGACCTGAAGCACTCGTTTCGGCAGATTTCGGTCGTCTTCTTCGGTGATCTGCGTGCGATAGGTGGGCCTCTCGAACACAGGCGGATTGTCGTTCACATCCTTGACGTGGATCACCACGGTCGTGTAGTTCTCCTTCAGATTGTCAGACGCCGCCAACTTCAGCTCGTACTGTTGCCGGTCAATAATACATTACTCTCTATTCTTACTTTACACTTCAGAAACCTAACAACTTTCCTAATTAATTAATAAAGTAAAACTCTCGACTCAATAGAATTTTTATCTAATTATAATCTGTCAGCGATAACTGATTTCAAATTCGTAGCTATCATTTTGAATTAAGTCATCGTTTCTTTTTAATTTGCTGATTTACCAAAACTCTTTTGACTTCTGAAATTACAATTTAACAAGGTAATTTAAAAAGTTTAATAGAAAGTTAGAAAAAGTAATTTAAAACCAGTTATAATTAACTTTATTTGGGTCTTTGTAATAACGGAATGAAGGAAACATTTTCTTAATGATAATAATTATTTCGTCTGAAAATTGTTTGACGGCTCTACTTATTGTGACAAATTACGCGAAGAATCAGCGGGATCTTTGTACAAGTTTAAACGAATAAACTGTTAACGAATACCTACGGGTATATAAATTGTAACCAAAAATTTACCAAGTCCACACTTGGCTTCGAAAATAGAGTGAGCGTGTTTGCGAGCCGAGGGAGTTATTGGTGTCATCTGTCAGTGTCGTTCAGTAATTTCCTCACTCGGGAGGGAAATGTTTGTTTCAAAAGTCATCTCACACACTTTATACAAGTTGGAGTACTACGTTTACCTCATATTAATTTTGATTTGTTTAAACTCCGAAAGTCTATTAACGCATAATTAAACGTAATCTCGGCTTAGGCGTAGACTAGGTGTTGTGATTTCGTGACTATTAATAACTGAACTAATCTCGGCGCAGGTGAGCGGTAGTACGTTCGGTTTCAGCAATGCTTTCAGGGAAATCCTCGTACGTTTTCGTATTTCACAGTTTCCACAGCTACGCCTGAACCAGCTTATACCCATGGACTCCGGCTACTGTATTTTCTCTTTTATTAACTTAGTTGGTGGTTACGTACGAACCAAGCTGGTCAGGCTGTACTGCACAAACTTTCTCCGCTAGACAATGTCGCGTAAGTGCGAAACACGACTCGCAAATACAATTTCCCCACGAGCTTTTTCCATTGCTTTCATTCAGTAGTGAAGCGTTATTTCCTTTTAAATAAATAACAATAAAATGTAGGTAGGTATTTCTTGAACATTTAAGAGAAGTCTGGAACGTTTAAAAGCAAAAGGAGTGTAGAGAGTAAACTGGTTTACATCCATAAAAGCTCCGTGAGAATCTGCAGTTTGATAGCAATACAGCCTTTGGTAACAACTACGCCGGCTCGCTTAAATGGGTATTAAAGATTAAATTATTTATCTCGTGAAAAGTTGGCGGAAAGTTTCTCGAGGCTGTAACAAAGAGGGCGTTCTGATAGGCGAGCGGGCGACCGCCTCCGCGACGCGATGTTTTAAAATTGAAACTCGCCAAGGGGCAAAAAGTAAGCGAGACACCGTTACCGTTCAACGCCGCCTTTATTTTTGCACAAAATTATGTTCAAAGGGCGATTAATTCTCTTTTGATCTAACTCACCTCTATTTTCATTAGTACACAACCCAACAATGTTTATGTTGGACCTTAAAAATGTGTATCTATAGTGGTAGCATACAACTTTTCATTTGATCTTGTAAATAAGCTCTGCGTCTTTATTTGGTTTTCTGTAGGTAAGCAGGCCCTCGGGGCGCCCAGGTACATATTATTACATACTTTACACTTGCGTGTTTGTACAACGGGTTTATCTTTAATTATGTTGGCTCACTTAGTTATCCCTTACTTGTTTAATTTGGGATTTTGCTGACACGTGACATAATTGTTGATGACGAACTTAGGTCCTACTTGTCGCGCAAGTTAAACTTCCCCTAATTAGTTTGCTGGATTTAGTTTAATAAAAACCTTTGTTAAACTTGTACGCGGATTATTCAAATCGTGCCTGATAACGAAGCAGACTTGAACGAATGAAATCAGTTTCATATTTCATTAGTATGAGATAATATACTCTTCTAGAATACTAACTACTCAGTAAACATAATAAGTACTGTGTAGAAACAAGTGTCTCCGAGTCTTGGTATCTAGTTCACGTTATTCTTGACAGTTTTAAAAGCATTATTGGATGCTAACACGAAACAAGTAAGCACATTTTAACATGACGCCTTTTTAAAAAAAAACTGTCCTGATTTAAAACAATTTACAGTGGGATTATGTACGTAATGTTTGAAACACACTATCAGTGATACATAAAATAAATTCTCCATATCACGACTCAACAAAATCGTTCAGCTATCGATTTATTTATTTTCCACTTTATCGTGGCTACATGGTCTCTCGGGGCCCATCCATCACTATAAAACCGCGCAATTGTTTTAAAATACCCACATTCCAAGCTTTATTATCGCCCTTTATGAATATTAATAACAGTTATTTTTCACAAATTCAAACGCATTTTTATCTATTCACGGACACGACCACGTAATCCGAGGTGACTAAATTAACTTTCAAACATTTTGTGTTAGCCGTTATTTAGCTTCTATCGGAGTTGAACAATTAATCAAACTTATAATCATCAACCCTTAAATACTTGGTGTGTACGAGTGGACTTTAATTTAATCAGAATCAAAAACAAGCAGTAATTAATCTAAAATAGAGCACGTCCAGTGCGTAAACTTGTACATATTTTTCAATATTTATTTTTTATTAAAAGGTAGCCCATTTAAACGAATGAGTCACGGTTGTTTAAACAAGATCCATTGAACCGTTGTTAATGCCAGTCTGTGAAAATGTGAAGTTGAATAAAGGTTTTTTACTCATTCGGGTTTACTTCATATCGTGTATGTTGGCAGGGCATTGATATAATATTTTAAAATGCAAAACGCAGTAGAATGCTTACCCGCTTCCTAGTTTCGTAGTCGAGCGCGCCTGCCACGTAGATGGCGCCAGTCATGTTCTTGACGGCGAACGCGCCGCCTATGTTCCCGCTCGTGATCTCGTATCGAATACGCGACGCTGCAACAAAATAAACACCATTATATATTTACATGCAGCCTCACCCCTTCAGGATTACGTACGCGTAACGGCACTTATATATAGTGCGTATTTTCAGATCACAATGATCAATAATTCTTCAACCTCAATTCTCGCTTTTTTACCGTCAGAAATGTTAAGGAAAAAATAAATAATGTCAGTCAAGTACTGGCGATATATAATGCTTGCACGATATTCCGCGGCAAAGAGAATAAATACTGAAACACGAGGAAACTTATCTCTACAGACACTTCCAAGTTAGAACACCAATTTCAGGCAATTCCTAGAGCTGTCGGCGATGTATATTCGTATAATATATTTTATAAGTAATACATAACCACGCTCGGTTTGTGTTTGTATTTCACGCAATAATAGTGAAGGCTTATCGTCATCGTGGCGGATAACATTCACTGCGCAGATATTATATATATATGTTTAAATGTCAAGTGGCAAGTTGAACCTAACTTTTAATAAAGCTAGAACTTCACGGTTGGTCTCACAATGACAGCATGAAATATCATAGCTCTTTCTCGAGAACGGGTCGGTACTCCATAAATTGGGTGGAAATAAAAAAATAATATCTGAACATTTAACAGATTTACGGGTTCGCCCCTTGACATGGCGGGGATTCTTTACGCTTGGTTTTATAAGATATTATTTGTTATTCATTTTTCGGCATCAACAACAGCTCATTGTACTAAGTACGTATGAGAAACAGGAAATTTTGGTTGGGGTAATGTTACACGATTGCTTGTAAACATTTACGCGGTGTTTGATAAATACCTATATATGTATGTATATGTACATGTATTGATGTGTATTCATAAGGGTGCAATTACCCTCAATCAAGATCGACAAGACATCGTAAATTTGTTATGGGACGAAAATTTTAATGTCACGGCGTAACTGGGTTATAGCCGAGGAGGCATTTGTCATTAAAGAAGTAGATAGCTCGAAAGGCCTACCTCAGCGCTTATTGCTGTGAAGGCCGCGACGGTAGAGTAACATTCCCTTTGTTTATTGCCCGTAAAGTTGAGGTACCCATATGTAACTTTGTAAGTTGGTACGATGACCGCTCAAACCGCACGTTTTCCGTTTATCTTGCTTAAATAGTAATTCGATTTCCATTACTAGTAATGGTCAGGGTTAGTAGATAAGCGGTTGTAGGACTCGGAAAGGTCTGGGTCGGCCATGATTGTCAGAAGATTGCCTTCATTTCGGGTCTGGCTGTAATTTGGGAGTATTTTTGTGTAGCATGTTGGGCTGGCGGTCAGTCGGTCGGATGATGCGTATTATCTCATTACGACCGCAAAGGCAATGTAAGTAGTGTGTGGAAGTAACGTAGCTTTTGAGAACTGCGAAAACTCACGAGATTTTCGACGGAGTCGGTAGTGACTGGGTCAAATCTCTTATGATCGAGCATCGTACTCGAGGCGTATGCTAGCTTGCGAAATCTCAAGTTTACTTCCTCATACAAATCTTTTATGTAAAAGGGTTTGGCTATACTTATGTAGGTAGATAGTAAGTTTCCTTTTGAGTTCTGCTCCATACATATACCTCTTAATAGGTTCCACAAAGGTGCGTATATTTATGTGCCTATGAACCAACCTCAGTGATGCATTGAAACAAAAGTTACGCAGAGAAGTAGCACAGGATTATGTCGGGTTTCACGAATTAATGGGGCAGAGAATTGACTTAAGGACATCGATATATCTCCCCAGAGGAAAATTTTACCGTTTCAGGGATACACGATCTTTCCTCTTAATTGTCAAGTTAATTACATTTTCTTTATAAATGATGGCAGATATTCTGGCACAGTTTCGAAGAAAAATTATTTAATGACATCGCGAGATTTTGTTCCAGATATGAGCTCTAGGAATTAGTGCGTCTTATATTAAGTTAGAAAACAGATAGATTTTGTGTTTTATAATATAAGAATTTTTATTTAATTTTAACACAAAAAAAATATAACACTGACTTGAAAATCTTCCTAACACTATTTAACTTGATTGATACGTTCGTACTTAGCAAAATTTTTTAATATACATAAAGTTTAACAGCAAAGGAAAAGTTTTAAAAAGACCGAGTACTGAAATTCATACCAAATAAATAAAACCTCGTATGGAGCTAAAAACTTTGCCTTTAAAATATACAAAGTGGTTGAACGAGTTGTAAATAAATATTCCATTAACGTTTTATAGGTATTTTAATTCACTTTTGCAAATTAAGATTAATACATAGTTAAAGTAAGTCGGACAAGGCAGTCATTATGCATTCCGATCCTCTGCAGACTGTAATCTGACTGTAGTCCGAACTTAAATAAAACGGTAATGGCACATTTTTGGATATTAATGCTCCAATAGGTAGCGTCTGTGTATGTTAACATTATTATTTGTTAATGAGAAAGTCGTATCACGAGTAATACAAGTCATAATATGTGTAATAAAGTTAATATAATTAAGTGTGCGTTATGGCAGGCGTGCGTGCGATTAGGCCGGGTGTCGACAATGTTGGCACCGCGTGCTCCATTCATGTGGGTACCTACTCATTATATCCCCACCTAAACCTCGCCGTACATCGTAATGAACGCATACTGTATTCTCAGACTAATTGGCCTATAAAGTAACACCCCTTTTCCTGCCTTTGCACGAGAATTTCGTTTTCCTCACAAGCATCGCACCCTTAATGAACGACTTCTATTTTTAGATTACCGTTAATTTAACTGCAACCAGAGTCTGCGTCAAACCGCAGAATGGAAATAGGAACTCAAGAATAAGAATATCCCAGATTTCCACCAATGACAGCAAAGTTGCAATACTCACGAAAAATTAAAAACAATGTTCTCGGTGATTTTATTCACTTTATTCCATTCCAGCAAAGAAATGCGAGGCCAAGGAGAAATTATTTTCTCAACCTAGCCGTTCAACTTTTTTTGCTAAGTAAAACAGAAAGCTAGAAAGTCATCTTTAATTGCATATAAAAATTTGTTTCGCTGAAATATTGTGCGTACAAGATTGAAGGATACTCAAATACTTTTTGTTATTATTTATTGATATTAATGATATCAGAAAGCAACTGTAGATGTGTTAAGTATTATTGTTTAATCCAAACAAAATTGATTGAAAGACGTAGCAAAGATTTCAATCATTTTAATTACGCCTGAAAGATTTAGGTAACATTGTTCGAGCGTAACTTTTCAAAGAGTTGGACATAAAAACGTCATGGTCCGCAAACGGCCAGGAGACCAGCCACTTTTAATTGTCATTTGTCACGACGAATAAATGAAAGTCGTAAATTTGGCTTGTGCCACGTCAAAATATACGATTTTCTTTCATAGAACATAGCATTCAATAAGGCGAGTACGGCGGTCGACTCGCGGTAAATCACCCCCGCCTCGAACGTCCTTATAGAAATTTTGGTTGGAAAAACCACTTCTTGGCTTACCTTCTTTTTCTTAACGTCGTATAACGCACACATTCCTAGGAAGATAAAAAATAAATTTGCTATCGGCACGAGATTTTCAAGGTGAAATCGAAAGCCTTACTGATTATTTAACGTAGATACGGCTCGGAAGGTTCATTTGCATAATAATTATTACAAAAGCTATAAATTATAGTTCGGAGACATTATGCGGTTTACAATTGATAATAAATCCCAAAGCAACTATGAGTTATAGCATTATGAAGTTGGAGCGAGCTGCCAGATCTTACTTTGGTGCGAGGTTACCACGGTAACTTGATATTGTGTGGATTTTAATATTTTCCTCATAATATTTAGGGTTAAAACATGGGATCAAAGGAAGTACTATGTTTGGATTATTTAATAATGCCTCGAATGTGTGGTGCCGAAGTAATTATGGGTACGCTTGGGCATCTATGGAAATAATTATACTTACTTGTGTTTAATTATCATAAATTCCCGAGAAGAATGATGGCCGTAATTAAGAAAGTTAAGAATATGAGGATCAAAATGTTAAAGAGCAAAAAAGATAAAAAGAATAAGTTCTTTATGAAGAACAATTTACTTTAACGATGATTTTTTACTTGATCCTCATTTGCATAAGACAACAGGTACCTGCAATTACGAATACAAGAGAATAATTTACCTCCATACAGGCGAGATTTAGGTGTGCGCCCGACAACATTGTTATATTATAGAGCGAGATAAGCAGGGATATAAAAAAAGTAAAACGTCGGGATTTCTCGCCGTGTTTTCACGGACGCGGCTAAGGGACCAAGGGTGTCATTTGGAGGGCGGAAATTGCAGGGAGACGGCCGGCGTGAGGTGTTTTAGTGACAGTGAGGCTTCGGTCAAATGTCACCGGCAATGAGCGACGTGACCTCGCCACCTCCCTCGGGCCCACTCATTTGTCTAAAGAAGACGCTGAAACAGTTTCATGATCAGCTTTAGTGCGTGTGCACACGAGGCGCGACGCTCCGACACGCTCGCCTCCGCCGACGATCATTCACCCAGACACGGACAAAGTATTTGTGTCGGTCCTTTTGTCACACGCCGCCGTACTAATAAGAATATGGTTGCTATTTATTCCTGAGTTATGAGGCTCGGTGAAACGCACGTAAATAGGCCGCGTAGCTTTAGCAATTACTAATGTTCCGCAACTAGCTCCATTATTAAGTGCGTGACTAATGTGATTACTAATGTGTCTAATAACGGGCCTGTGTTTACATGTGTAACACTGTAAGCGAATTATTTACAGGCTGTTACAGTTTACGACCGTTATCATCGTACAACACACATATTGTACGCGTTTATATCACTTACGTTACAAGTGAAGCAATTATATGTGCCTTAAATAACAATAAAGAGTTTAGTTTAAAATTATTACGTAATTTCAAGTGTCGCTGAAAGCCACAGCTGTATTTACTAAATGTTCGCGTGTATGTTTAGATATTTCTAGATTTTATATAAATAAAATTACGAGCTCCCATTAAGCGCACATGGGGTTGTGTACAGAATAACGT